GTGAGTTCATAATAATTTATTTTCCTCTATCCTTCTACAGTCTACCTGCTACATACGCACGCGCGCGCGCGCGCGCGCACACACACACACACACACACACACACACACACACACACACACACACACACACACACACACACACACACACACACACACACACACACACACACACACACACACACACACACACACACACACACACACACACACACACACACACACACACAATGACCTCCTGCTGGAGGAGAAGATTGTGCGAAGAAAGCTAGTGGAGCACCTGGAGCGAAAGAACTTTGTAACACAGCATCAACATGGATTCAGGGATGGCAGGTCCTGCCTCACAGGGTTACTTGAATTCTACGACCAGGGAACAAAAATAAGGCAAGAAAGAGAAGGGTGGGCAGACTGCATATTTTTGGATTGTCAGAAAGCCTTTGACACAGTGCCACACAAGAGGCTAGTGAAAAAACTGGAGATGCAGGCTGGAGTGAAAGGAAAGGTACTCCGTTGGATACAGGAGTACCTAAGTAACAGGAGACAACGAGTCAGTGTGAGGGGTGAGGTCTCAGATTGGCGAGACGTTACGAGTGGAGTACCGCAGGGGTCAGTCCTTGGACCTATACTGTTTCTGATATATGTAAATGATCTTCCAGAGGGTATAGAATCGTTTCTCTCAATGTTTGCCGATGGTGCAAAAATTATGAGGAGGATTGAAACTGAGGACGATAGTAGGAGGCTACAAGATGACTTAGACAGACTGAGTGAATGGTCCAACAAATGGCTGTTGAAGTTCAACCCGAGTAAATGCAAAGTAATGAAACTAGGTGGTGGAAATAGGAGGCCAAACACAGGATACAGAATAGGAGATGAAGTACTTAATGAAACGAACAGAGAGAAAGATCTAGGAGTTGATATCACACCAAACCTGTCTCCTGAAGCCCACATAAAAAGAATAACGTCTGCGGCATATGCGAGGCTGGCTAACATCAGAACAGCGTTCAGGAACCTGTGTAAGGAATCATTCAGAATCTTGTACACCACATATGTAAGACCAATCCTGGAGTATGCGGCCCCAGCATGGATCCCGTACCTTGTCAAGCACAAGACGAAGCTGGAAAAAGTCCAAAGGTATGCCACTAGACTAGTCCCAGAACTAAGAGGCATGAGTGACGAGGAAAGGTTGCGGGAAATGCACCTTACGACACTGGAAGACAGAAGAGTAAGGGGAGACATGATCACAACCTACAAAATCCTCAGAGGAATCGACCGGGTAAACAAGGATAAACTATTCAACACTGGTGGGACGCGAACAAGGGGACACAGGTGGAAACTGAGTACCCACATGAGCCACAGAGACGTTAGAAGGAACTTCTTCAGTGTCAGAGTAGTTAACGGATGGAATGCATTAGGCAGTGATGTGGTGGAGGCTGACTCCATACACAGTTTCAAATGTAGATATGATAGAGCCCAGTAGGCTCAGGAATCTGTACACCAGTTGATTGACAGTTGAGAGGCGGGACCAAAGAGCCAAAGCTCAACCCCCGCAAGCACAAATAGGTGAGTACAAATAGATGAGTACACACCAGTTGATTGACAGTTGAGAGGCGGGACCAAAGAGCCAAAGCTCAACCCCCGCAAGCACAAATAGGTGAGTACAAATAGGTGAGTACACACACAGCAGGAAGGATAAGACTAAACTGGAAAAGGTTCAAAGGTTTGCCATCAGACCCGAGCTGAGAGGTATGAGCTACGAGGAGAGACTACGGGAATTAAACCTCACTTCGCTGGAAGACAGAAGAGTTAGGGGGGACATGATCACCACATTCAAGATTCTGAAGGGAATTGATAGGGTAGATAAAGACAGGCTATTTAACACAAGGGGCACACGCACAAGGGGACACAGGTGGAAACTGAGCGCCCAAATGAGCCACAGAGATATTAGAAAGAACTTTTTTAGTGTCAGAGTGGTTGACAAATGGAATGCATTAGGAAGTGATGTGGTAAAGGCTGACTCCATACACAGTTTCAAGTGTAGATATGATAGAGCCCAATAGGCTCAGGAACCTGTACACCTGTTGATTGACGGTTGAGAAGCGGGACCAAAGAGCCAGAGCTCAACCCGCGCAAACACAACTAGGTGAGTACAACTAGGTGAGTACACACACACACAAAAGCTGGAGATCCAGGGAGGAGTGAAAGGGAAGGTACTGCATTAGATAAGAGAGTACCTAAGAAACAGAAGACAGCGAGTTACTGTGAGGGGTGAGGTCTCAGATTGGCGAGACGTCACAAGTGGAATCCCCCCAGTGTTCAGTCCTTGGACCTACACTGTTTCTGATATATGTAAATTGATCTCTCAGAGGGTATAGAATCGTTCCTCTCATTGTTTGCTGATGATGCACAAATTATGAGGAGGATTAAAACAGAGGATGATAGCAGGAGGCTACAAGATGACCTAGACAGACTGAATGAATGGTCCAACAAATGGCTACTAAAGTTCAACCCGAGTAAATGCAATGTCATGAAACTAGGAGGTGGAAACAGGAGGCCAGACTCAGGATACCGAATGGGAAACGAAATACTTCATGAAACGGACAGAGAAAAAGATCTAGGAGTTGATATCACACCAAACCTGTCTCCTGAAGCCCACATAAAAAGAATAACGTCTGCGGCATATGCGAGGCTGGCTAACATCAGAACAGCCTTCAGGAACCTGTGTAAGGAATCATTCAGAACCTTGTATACCACATATGTGAGACCAATCCTGGAGTATGCGACCCCAGCATGGAGCCCGTACCTTGTCAAGCACAAGACGAAACTGGAAAAAGTTCAGAGGTATGCCACTAGGCTTGTCCCAGAACTAAGAGGCATGGGTTACGAGGAACGGCTGCGTGAAATGCACCTCACGACACTTGAAGATAGAAGAGTAAGAGCAGACATGATCACTACCTGGATAAGCTACCTTATGTTAGATAAGGATAAACTTTTTAACATGGGTGGTACGCGAACAAGGGGACACAGGTGGAGAATGAGAACCCAAATGAGCCACAGGGACGTTAGAAAGAACCTTTTCAGTGTCAGAGTAGTTAACAAGTGGAATGCATTAGGCAGTGATGTGGTGGAGACTGACTCCATACACAGTTTCAAATGTAGATATGATAGAGCCCAGTAGGCTCAGAAATCGATACATCAGTTGATTGACGGTTGAGAGGCGGAACCAAAGAGCCAGAGCTCAACCCCTGGAAGCACAACGAGGTGAGTACAACTAGGTGAGTACATTTTAATACTTGTCCAATACTTTTTGACTTCCTATTTTCACTCACTCTCTTGCATTATCAATCTGTTTTCTTTTCACCTCATACACCTATCTCCTGTGAACAATCATTTTGTTATTTTACCAATACATTTTGATACTCGTACTCTATATTTTGGCTTTCCCTCTATGCTTCACTCACTTGCATTATCTATCTACTTTCTTTTCACCTCATACACCTTACACACACACACTCTTCTCCGCTGAACGATCTTTTTTTAATATTTTAGACTCACATTATGATATTTGTCCACTACATTCAGACTTTCCCTTTTCATTTTGCTCACTTGCATCATTTGCAAGCAATGAAACTAGAGGCGACAATTGACGACGAAGGCACAGCCGGCTCAGCAACTATCTTGAACAGCACAAATGAACTCACAAGGCATAACTCGACGCTCTGCATTAATGCTGATTACTCTAGTTGTAGTACCGTAAAGTACTATGACCTTATTTCGTGCTACTCCCTGTTTAAATAAGAATGCAATCCTCAGATTACCTATCTTTTCATGGGCTTGTGGCTTGTGGTGTGTGGCGGGCACCGGAGATTCCAAATGGCGTGCGGGAGTATGACTTCTTTCCTCGTTGATGAAAAATGTTTCGTGTTAATAATTATCTTGCCTTACTTTATGTGAACGTTGACTAGAGCAGGGTGAATTGTAAGACCTCGGACCTCAGGCTGGTGTGATGAACAATGAGTGTTAGTGGCGGCTGGCGGTGGCGGCGTGAGTGGGAACTTGAATTTCCGCATGAGAAATTTTTTTCTCGCGTCACAGTTGTTACCAGTGTTTTTGCTCGTTTGCTTGTTGGTTGGAGATATGGTCAAAGCTCTTTTTTGGGGTTGTAGATACACTTAGATACTTGAGGTATTTATTGGGTGAGGTAATAGAAGAAACCAAGCACAACCAAAGTCTACCTGCTATCAGGTCTGGCTATCAACAGGTGCCATCCACTTGAGCAGGCATCCACCGACTCTATGGTGCGGGACATCAGAGGCCTATTGCCTTTGTGGTTGGCTACACTCCAACCGTCTGCAGTTTGTAGGCTGACAGGTTTGACAGAAACTATACTCCTGGGTGCTAGGGTGAGCCAGAAATTATAATCTTGGGATCGTGGGTGAGACAGAAACTATTCTCCTGGGAGCGCGAGTGGGAAAGAAACTATACTCCTCAGGCCGTGAGTTAGACGGAAACTGTACTCTGGGAGCGTTGCTGAGGCAGAAACTGAATCATATTGTTTCTTGGATCTTAATATAGTTTGTTACTGACCGCGTAGGTGAGATAGAAACTATACTCATTGGAGCCCTGGTGAGACAGAAACTATTCTCCTGCAAGCGTAGGTTAGACAGAAAATATACGCTTGGGCGCTCTGGTGAGACAGAAACTTTAACCCTGGGAGCGTGGGTGAGATAGAAACTGAAGTGCTAGGAGCGTGAGTGGGATGGAAACTATACTTCAGGGAGCTAAAGAGAGGCAAAAACTTCACTCCTGGGAGTGTGGCTGAGACATAAGTTTTAATTATGGGAACGTGGGTGATACACAAACTATGCCTCTAAGAGTGTGGATAAGAAAGAAACTACTCTCGTGTCAGGGATGGGTCTTCTTCCGTGGCTGAGTCACATACCTGGTGTTTGTCACAGATAATCAAATTGGTGAAGTCTTTCTGGTTGGCCAAGTCGTTGCCCAGA